CACACACACACACACACACACACACACACACACACACACACACACACACAAAACTTTGCCAAGCAATATTAAGCAACCTTGGCAGTGAAGCTGACATAAAAGCCAAAGTTGAAGATATTTTTCTGAGTAGTATCCGTCATGTAAGTGGACCAGGAAAATGAGCAAATTACCTTTTTTATTGTGTAAAGGAAAGTGTCTTTGTGTCTGCGCTGACCTTCTGTACCTTTTCTCTCCATCGGCCCACCTCTCTTTGTTCCCCGACCTGTTTTCTGCACGTCTTCCTGCAGGTTGTCCTTGTTTCCTGACATTAATCTGCCAGCTTCACCGAAGGTCCTCCCTGCTGCTGTGATTACAGACAGATGATCTGACGGAGGCGCTGACAAGTGCAGCGTGACGAAGCAGCGAAGGTCAGGGCTCTTCCTCTGACCCTGACAGGGTTTGGTTCTGCACATGAACACCTGTCCACCAGAACCGTGGGTCTGTGAGATCAAGGCCGGCTCTCCTCACAAAGAATTCTTCATCTGCGACGTCACCAGGCAACTGCAGGCCGTTTTAACATTTCTTAGCAACAACATTTAGCTTTGATTGTAATAAAAATCATTACAAGCCTAAATAAATAAAACTCCTTTTATTCACACAGAACATGAACATATGAGTGTTAAAACYAAGAAATTGTATCATTTTTAGACAGAAAACAAAATAAAATTATATGGCTGTAACACATGTCCAACGTTGGGTAAAGCTCTATCAYGCAAAGTACAAAATTCTGAAGCTTTGCCATCTTCTCTGGGCTCGTTTAAAATGGATTGAGTTGAAGTAAAAAAAACTGTTCTGAGTCAAAAAAAATCTGCATTTGATTATTTTTTTAATTTTTTTTTATTTGTTTTGAATTCACAAAAACCCTCTGCACAAAATCCAACCAAGCTGTTTTCAGGGCACAGYTAAAAAGTTTGCCTCTCTGATGGTATGGGGGTACATGTCTTTATTTACTCTCTACACCACTGTTTTTCAGAGTGGGCACTGTGCCCCCCTGAGGTGCCTCAGAAAGCTGGAAGGAAGTCGGGGAGAAAAATGCGAAACATTTTTCAATTTAACAAACCTTTCAAACCATTATCAAAAAAAAAAATTTAAAATTTAAATCCTAAAAATATTTTTTTTAATATTATTTAAGAGTGCTTAAGAG